CAAATAGAGTTTTATCAACTCCCCCTCGAGAGTAGCCCATCTCGACCAAAAAATGAGTTAGGCGTTCGTACCAGGCTCGCGGTGCCTGCTTCAGCCCATACAAAGCCTTCTTCAGCCTATAAACATGGTCAGGATGATGTGGGTCTACAAACCCTTCAGGTTGCTTAACATACGCAACCTCTTTCAAAAACCCATTCAAAAAAGCGGACTTAACATCCATTTGATAAATCACAAATCCAAGTAAGCACGCAATGGATAAGAACATCCTAACAGACTCTAGACGAGCTACAGGGGCAAATGTCTCATCAAAGTCAACACCTTCCTCTTGGGTGTACCCCTGAGCTACGAGGCGTGCCTTGTTCCTAGTGATCTCTCCCGATTCATCCGTCTTGTTTTTAAAAATCCATTTCGTTCCAATGACGTTTGAATCGGAAGGTCTAGGTACAAGTTCCCACACATCGTTCCTCACAAACTGTTCTAGTTCTTCCTGCATAGCCAGAACCCAGAAATCATCACACAAGGCTTCTTTGGCATTTTTAGGTTCCACTTTAGACACATAACACGCAAAATGACACACACCAGCTATTCTCCGAAAGTCAGGTTTTACACCTCTAGTATTACGCTCAGTGATTCCTCCTATGATCTGGTCCTTAGGATGATCCCTCTGAACTTTGGCGGGAGGATCGCGCTTCGGTTCAGACGGAGTTCCAAGGTTCATAGGAACACTATACTCATTAACAATTACATGTTCATCACAATCTGGTGTTTCAGTTTTTACTTCATCCAACACACTTCCAGAATCAGATTTAGATACCTCCTCTTTATTAGACACATCGAGTTTAGACACATCAGGCATCGTAACACATTCAGACACATCATCAAAAACCACATTAATGGATTCCATGACTACTTCAGTTCGCAAATTATAGACCCGAAATGCACGGCTGTTAGTAGAATAACCAAGGAACTGACCTACATCACTTTTAGACTCAAATTTACCAAGATGATCTCTGTCATTGTAAATATAACACCGACATCCAAATACATGAAAATATTTCACATTAGGTGCTTTACCTTTCCACAGTTCATAAGAGGTCAGCCCGGTTCCCTTCCTGCAATACACACGATTAGTTATATAGCATGCGGTATTTACCGCCTCAGCCCACCATCTCAAGGACATATTCTGGGAGACAAGCATCACTCTTGCCATCTCCTGAAGAGTTCTATTCTTACCTTCCACGACTCCGTTCTGCTGTGGAGTGATTGGAGAAGAAAACTGATGAAAGATTCCTCGAGATTCGCAAAAGAGTTCAAAACCACGGTTCTCGAACTCCTTGCCGTGATCGCTTCTAATGGCCACAAGATTGGTCCGTTTTTCATTCTCAAGTTTCAGCACAAGTCTTTTAAAAGCATCAAGAGCATCAGATTTATCTTTTAAGAAATCAACCCAAGAGAATCTAGAGTAATCATCCACACAAACAAGAATATACTTCTTACCACTGTAGCTTTCAACTTGAATCGGTCCCATCAAGTCCATGTGAATCAGTTCCATTATCTGGTTCGTACTGATCTCAGTCAACTTTTTGTGAGACGCCCTTTTCTGTTTGCCCATTTGACAAGATCCACACACCCGTGGTACTTCCCTTTTCAGCTTGGGCAATCCTCGAACAGCCCCTGTAGAAGAAAGTTCAAGTAAGTGAGGATAATTAATGTGCCCTAACTTTTGATGCCATAGTTCAGTCATATCAGTACTGGTTTTATT